CTAATAAATGAAAACAAAAATAAAATATTAAGATATTACCATTCTGTAGCCCCCAAAGGATTAAGGGATGTAAGCATGAAGAAAAAACAGTCATTATGTGACGCATGACAAAAGAATCCAACAAAGAATCCAACCTAAGTCTGTCCAGCCTATGGATCTATCTGCCAATCTGCATAAAGTAAAGAGGACAGAGGTACGTGGACCTGCACCATGAGTGTGCAGTTGGGAAACTGGGAAACTCTGTAGGCCAAATGGTCTGGATTCAACAGGCAAATTATAAGAAAAAGAAAGAGATGGAGGGGGAAACTGTAGATTAAAGGGGATTTAAAAGACATTAAGCTTTAAAAAAAAAGTGAGCATGATTAAATTAAGATATCTAGAAATTAATACTTAAGTGACTAAGCCTTAAAGACATTCTAGTGATATCTGTGAAAACCAGGGTAGTGGTTACTTTTGTCAGGGAGAGGGTGTTTGGATCGGGGCACAGGGAAGAGCTTCTGGGGTGAATGAAAAAGTTCTAAATCTTTACCTGAGTTGTGGTTAGAAGAAAGTAATCTTTCTAATAACTCATTATGCTACTCTTGGGTTTTTGCATGGTTTTGAGTATTTTATTTCTCAATAAAAGGCTTTAAAATACTAAAAATGGCAGAAGAGAACAGGCACAGCCGTGAAGCTGTTCCTGTGGACAATCAAGTAGAGCTGTTCAGAAGGCTGCTGGGGTTTGTGTGTCTGGGGCTTGGGAGGAAGGTTTTTCAGGAGAACGTATGGGGCAATCAGCACATGATCACTGAAGCACAGGAGGGGTGTGGAGAGAAAAGAAGCCCAAGGACTTGGCCCTGAGAGGAAGACACAGGTTCTGAAGGTGAAGGTTGAAGGAGAGGAACGTTTGAAGAAACTCAAAAGAAACAGCCAGAAAGGCACAAAGAAAACCAGGAGAGGGCGAAGTCAGGACCTGAGGGATGAGATTTTCGGCAGTGAGTGACAACACCCCATCCTGCCAGTGTCAGGCAGCACATGGGCAGAGCGGGGTTGCCGGATCCAGCCACATGAAGGCCGCCTGTGACCTTAGAAAGAGCAGTGCCTGGTGGACCTATCAGTCACACCATGGTGGCTGTGAGGAAGCAGAATCAAGGAGTGCAGTTAACTTCTTACCTATTTAGTTGTGGAGGCAAGTAGGGAAATGTGGCATCCAGGGAAATTTATTCCAAAATAGGGTTGTGTGAACATATTTGCAAAGCTCCAAAAAGCTAGAAAACTTCCTGACAGTGTCTATGTTCTCAGAGATGGAAGAGGCAAGATTATTTGCTATAAAATCAGGGGAGAAGTGGCAAGATAGATGCTTGAAGAGAAAACTGAACAACTGATGTGGGGCAGACATAAAGGAGGGGGACAGGGTAGGGAAGTCACTGGAGGCCCACAGATGGGGTGTTGGCAGCCCTGAGGCTCTGCAGAGCCTGGAGGCCAGGGCAGCTGTGACCCCAGTCCCTATGGCAGGGAGGGTCCCCGTATGAGTGTTCTACAGCCTTCCGGCAGGACTGGAGAACACACATGACCAAATGACTCAGATTGGGGTTTGAAGAGCAACAGAGGGACATCCAAGCAGGATGGAGATTCAAGTTCTAGGTCCTGAAGACAGAGGACTAAATAGGCAGAGGAGAGGAAAAGAGGAAGATTAAACGTTTCCTTCTCCTTCCTGAGGGAAAGTTTGGCCCAGAGTGAAGTGCTGATCTCTTGGAAGTTTATCTTTTGCATCTTACCCTCTCTGACCTCCTAGTGACTCTCCCTCCAGGGTCCTGGGGTCCTCATGCTGCTCTACATCAACCCCCACCTGTACTTTGAAGAATGAATAGGGGGAGACATTTTTGAAAGGGTACTTGTTAATCTAACTGTATCTCCGATAGACTGAACTTCTGACAACGTGGAGAGAAAACTTGGGGTTAGAAACAATCCAAGGATGATGGGGTGTGCTAGGCATTTCACATGCGGGAGAGGCTCTCCTCAGGCCTTGAGGCTCAAAAGAACATTTCTTTAAGGCAAAATGCAGGTGTAGAGTAAATATCTTTCTGTGATACTTTCAGAAAAAAAATTGTTTTTTCTCTTTTTCTTGGCTTGGTGAAATGTGATTTCACCTGCTATGACAAAAGATAAACTATAATCAAGGATGTTTAATGGTTTTAAATAGTTGTCATCCTCTGGGCTGAGAAATATTCTAAAGCAATAAATAGTTGTAATTAGCATCATTTCCAAAATCAATCAACTGTCATTTTCCTATGTAACTAATGCTATTTTAAATTCAATGGGTACAGAATGACCCTACTTTCTTAAACCAAAAACAAGGATACATGGACTGGAGACAGAGAAAAATAGAGCTTACTATGTGACAGGCAGTATCCTAATTGCTTTATGTATTTTAATTACACTAATTCCTACAACCCCACAATTATTGTCATTTGACAGATGAGGAAATTGAGGCACAGAGAGATTAAGTAAATTGCTTAAGATCTCACAGCTAGTAAACAGGGGAGCCACTATTTGAACCCTGGAAGTCGGAAGGTTATGTACTAACATTAGACATGAAGTACAAAATTCATAAATTATTACAGAAACTTGTACTGTGTTGAATACTATGTTGAAAAATTCATGTCACCCTATAATCTGTAAATCTGGCTTGTGAATGTGACCTTATTTGGAAATAGGGTCTTGACAGAAGTGGTCAAGTTAAGACATGGTCATACTGGATTACAGAGTAGATCCTTATTCAATAAAGGGAAATCTGGACTTGGGTTCTGACATAGGGTCAACAACATATGACTACAGGGAAGAGACTGGAGTGATGTGTCTGTGAGCCAAGGACTGCGATGACCAAAAGCTAAAAAGAGACAAGGAAGAACCCTCCTTCAGTGCTTCTGAAGAAAAAGCTTTATTAGACTTCATTAATTCAACCAATGACATTTATAAGATAATGAAATTGTTACCTGTTTAGGGGTTATCAAGTGTTTTAATTCTCTGTGTTTTATACTTATTCAAATCCAAAGCCATTCTAATCAGCTTTTGTAGCTTTTATCTCTGGAAGATACTACAGTAAATTTTTCAGTAAAGTTTTTCACTAGGTTCTTCTGGCTAAGAAAATAATTTAATAGATAACTACTACCATATTTACAATAATTAGGCACAAAGGTACAAATTATTGTAAAAGTTTTTCAAATTATCAATACAAGAGTGATTCCCCTTTAGGAGACAATGCATGAGGTTAGTTTCATAAACTCAGGTGCAATTATTTTTCTTTTATGGACGAGATGCAACCTAACTCCACTCCATTATTTTCCCAACATATAAAAGGAGTGTTCTGAAAGTGCATTTGAAAGTATATACTTCGAGACGAGGCACACTTTTCTAAAGCAACCCTGCTATACCTATTAACATGTACCATCTGACTCAGGCTTCAAGCTAGATACCACACATATTTTGCCAGATTTAATTTTCATGATTATTCAACGAGATAGACATTGAAGGCCCACAATCTCTCATCTTAAACCCTGGGGCCAGAGCTTTCAGGTTTCAACATTTTCTTATTTTAGAAAAATAATGGCACACATGGTATATACTAAGTCCCGCCTCTAGTGAGGTCTTGGAGAGCACTCAGTTGCCAGATGAAGGTTTCTAAATCAAAGCATATTAATTTTCACATCAAGAAGGATGGAAAAGGACTCTAAATAGCCTCATGTTGGTTCAGGTAAGATTTGCTGCCTAATGAGTTCAGGTCAGGTCAAGTTTTCTAAAAACTGGTTCTCTGAGCTTTTTGAATTTTATAACTGGGAATAAAGGTGTGGGAACCTGTATAACTCTCCTTTTCTAGAGTAGAAAATGAGGTTAAATAGAGTCGAATAACACACACGGGTGTGTAAATAGGAGTTGGAATTCAAACTCAGGTCTCTCTGGCTATAAGGCTCTGGACTACACCTGAATGCCTTAAAATGGCTATTTCATCCCACAATCAAACCAAGCCACAGAGAATGGCAGTGCCATACAGAATCTGACGCTGTGTGACATGGCATTTCTAGGAGAAGGAGTTGTGCAGGGTTTCAACCCTGGGCACTTCCCCTCTCACTCCTAAGACAAGGGAGGGCCTGACCCAGCACAGGAGCAGTAAGACAGGAAACTCTGCCAGCTTTGGGATTCGGCGGAGAGGCAAAGCAGGAAGGGGCCTGAGTGTGTAGAAAGGGAAGGTGGAAGATCAAGCTGTAAGACAGGAGGATGAATATGGACTTTGAAGAAAATGTGAAAAGTGAAGAGTGGGAGGCAAGGCTATCCAAGAGTAAAGGGAGGCTTAGGGCTCAAGCAAGGAAGGGCCAGTGTGGACTGGCTGGAAGAGAGAAACCGTAATTGGAAAGGGAGATTTTTTTTTTCTTTCACAAATGAAAGATAGCAGTAAGAGAAGGAAGCAATGGGGAAAAAAACCGCTGAACCTGCCCTTTCTTTCCAGCCCAACCTTCCTTCACTGTCAGCAGTTCTGGGAAGGAGGTGAGCACTGGTAGAGCCCTGTTCCATGACAGGTATCTCTGTGGCACTTCACCTTGACCTCATCCAACCCTAGCAACCCTCCGGGGTCTTACAGATGAGCAAGAGACTCAGCTAGGGAAACGTGCAGAGGTTGCAGAACCACAAAGTGGAGAGCCATCCCAGCTCTGAACTACCACAAGTCCACGTTCTTTTCAAGGACCAAAAATGGGTAGGTGTGGGCAAAGCAGCAAGAAATACAGTGCTGTGAGTCAAGCGCCAGGCATTGGGGTGGCAAGGGAAATGGGGAACTTGGAAAGATACAAAATTTCTATCACTCAGGAGAAATTTCTGCAGCAGCTGGGAGGTGAGAAATAGACACAAACCAGACAGTAATAAATTAGAGACTGCTTGTTAAGATCATCTAAGTCAACTACAACATCAGGGAGCCGTATAAATTCGGTTATAAATTAAAAACAAATGAACGCCTCATATATACTTACTTCCCAAAGTTCATAGAGCTCCTTTTTGAGGTCCTCTGGTAAAAGCTGGGTTATGTGCTTCATAGCTTCCTGAAATATCAAACCATTACTTTAACTATATGGACATTTATCAAAGTTAACAACTACTCTGCAAAAGACAAATATATTCAGATTCTTACAAACAACACCCACAGGGGCAGCAGAGTAAATCGGCCTATACTGGACAACATTTATAGCTTATAAGAAAGGCAGGCAGTTGTACACCTTAAATAAGTAAGTATAATCATTCATATGGGCTTTGTCTAGCACCTGTTTTGTGGTCTACAACACAATAGATACAGAGAAGGGCAAAGAGGAGGTCACAAGACAATTAACAGAAATATCAGAGGTGTTCAAGGATTTTACATCTGTGGATGAATCACAACATACCCACAGACATTTTAATCATAAGCATATGAGAGTTCAAAACAAACCTAAGTGGGGAAAATGGGAAAGGAATATTGAATTACAAAGCTCAGAGATGTTCTGTATATTCATTTTCTATTGTTAATGTTTTTATTGCAAGATGTACAATACAAATGGGCAATTATTGTCATTAACATAAAGGAAGTTACATGATAGAATTTTGTAGGCTCACAGACTCACAGGCTGAAAAGGAATATTAAATAGCAATTAACTAAACCATCCATGTAGCATCTGAAGCCTTCAATAGCATCACTGAACACTTCTATCCTCTTTCCACAACTGTGTGGAATGGTAGGGAGCCTACTACCTCAAGAGATTGCCCACATGGCTGGAGGCAGTACTGACCGAAATTACTTTTTTATATTAAGCTGAAAAATTTCCCTGTAGTTTTTCTACCACACCTAACCCATGGCCCCTGCTTTCCTCTCTCATTCACAAACACAATGTCAGACAAGTGGACAGTGGCCTGCTGGGCCAGATGGTCTGTGGCCACAGTGACTGGGCCAAGGGATAGCCTTATAACGCAAACCAGGCCACTCAGGGGCCATCTGCATTTGTCAAGCAGAGGCTAGGAGAGAAGCCACATCTCCCACCACAAGGAGAAGCCTGAGAGTTAGCCAAAACCTAAAGAAAAGCAGAGATGAAGTAAGACAGTAGAGGGCGTCCTGTACTTCTAGTCTTTCTGTACTTTCTAGTCCCAAAGATCCCAGGAGCTACCCTTATTCACCAGTCTCCTCCTTTATTTATGAGTTACTCCAGTATCCTTCCTTTATTTCTGAATCACTCCAGTACTATTAAAAGGCTTCCCATTCCTTCACCAACTTCTGTACCTTTTAATCAGCCTCAGTTCTTCTAACCACAGAGGTTAGGCTCCTTGAACAGAATATGGCTATAAAAACCATTTTGGGCAATATAAAGGTCTTACATAAAATAAAATAGTGAGTTGCAGGAAAGCAATGAAAACAAAAATGGACATTTGTGTGTATGTTTATTTATTACTGGGAGGAAGACAACGTTACAGAATACCACCACTTCCAGAATAAACCACATTTGCCAATGTCAACAATCCAGTCCTATAAAAAAACATCCCCATCTTGAATAGCTTGTTCAGTTAAAGAGCAGTAGCACTGCCCTACCCTTAGTGGGAAGAAGTTTAGTGTACATTGTACATGCATTCGCCCTTGTTTCTTTCTCATGTATTTCAGCAAGAATATTTGAAAAAATATTTTATATTTTCACAAATTAACTGTGTCTTTATAGATTGCTTTTCTCTATACTAGTCCAGAAACACAAGTTTCCCAATTACTTCCAGTTGAAAAGAATGAACTGAATCATACGTACATACAGGTATATGAAAATTTAAACTTTAGAAATATAAAAGTCCTGCTCTGTCAAGAGACTATTTTATTCTCTTTAAAATGATGCACCTAGAACTGAATATAGTGTATGATCTGACCAAGGTAGAAGAAAATGGAATCATCACCTTCCTAATGCTAGATACTATATTCCTCTAAGTGCAGTGTAAGACTGAATTGGCTTTTTGGTGATCACATCCAATTACTAAGTTATTAATACGCTTCTTGTAGTTCAAAATCACCATGTTCTTTAAAAAACAAAACAGCAAATATGTTGTTGCTCTCTTCCTGAAACTGAACAATTATTTTCTGAATCTAAGCTGATTGATATTTGTTATCACACAATCAGGATTGCATTTCTGAAATCTTGTAGAGAGTTAATATTCTTTGTTTGGCAGCATATGCCAGAATTATGCCTACCTTTTTATTGAACCCTGTGAAATCAACATGGCTGAGGTCCAGGGTACACAGCTGAGTATGCCAGCCTTTCCCTTCCTGGCAAGCGATGAGCCCTGACACTTCCACTTCTATACTGAATTTCACCTTGTTGTTCAGACATAGATTTAGAGTGACAGCTTCCCTAGCCTCTTCCTCTGTTAGCAAAATATGTCAAAAATCTGCCTAAAGTGCTGAGCTGAATGAAGCTTTTAGCAAATATTTTGTGTCAGTTTTGTGACAAGTATCTGGAAGGTATTATTCATCATTCAGACACTGATGAAGCTGAACAGTGTAGTAGTCAACTGAAGATTAGATCCAGATTGGGTTTCAAACCCAGCTCGCTGGGTTTAATACTAGCTGTGGAACCCTGAGCAAGTCATTTGACCTCTTTGTCCTTCAGGTTTCTCATCTACACAGTGGGGTTAAATGATGGTACCTACCTAAGAGGATTATTAAGGAATAAACAGTTAATATAAATAAAGTGCTTACTATGTGCCAATAATAAGTACTTTACAAATCTGGCACATAATAAGCACTCTATAAATGTTTGTTATGCTTTTAATTTTCTCCTTCTTGCCATGCTCACTCTGGTTAAGGTTCCATTCTCTTTGTAATCTCCTAGTACTTTAGCAACTTTAATCCTCCCGGACACACAAGCATACCACGACTCTGCCTTCTGTTTCAATAAGGTTTTCCCTTCGCAGAGGAATATGACCTGGTGCTGCTGTATTCCAGTTTCAAGTTCCATCTCACTAGATTGTGGTAATCCTTATCAGACCTCATTTGTCAACTTGCATTATAATATTAAGTGTATGTTAATATGTTTAGGAAGGGAGCCAGGATACAAGTATTGCTTTTGGCTCCTTTTCTAAACTTGTTTCTTCTATGCCCTCACTCTCTCTTTCATCTTAATACCTACTTTTCTCCAAAACAATCAGCCCTCTAGGTTTATCAAGCACAGTTGGTCCTCCTTATCTGTGGATTCTGCATTAATGGATTCAACCAACCATAAATTTAAAAATTTAAAGATACAAATAAAAAACAATACAGAGTTATCAACTATTTACATAGCATTTGCATTATATTAGGTATCATAAGTAACACAGAGATGACAAAGTATATGAGAGGATATGTGCAGGTGATATACAAATATGACACCATTTTATCTTGAGCATCTGCAGATCTGGTTATCTATGGGGGTCCTGGAACCAATACCCCATAGATACTGAGGGACCACGATATTTTTTCTCCCTCCTACTTCAGTTTACAGGCTCACTGATCCAGCCAGCAAGGGCAAATGAGGTTTCCTGGTTCTCATTAGGCAAATTCCACCCAGAGCCGAGAAACCCTCATTTAATTATCTTAATGCATGGTTCAGACATCCAAACCTTGTTCATAAACACCATCTGCATAAAGAATTGTTCACCTCCCAGATTTTCTTCTCCATTCCCAAATCCTGACCAGCAGCAGGAAGAGGCAACAGAACATCAGTGCTGTCCAAGAACTTGTGGTTCTTTAAGACGTTTCCTCATTGCCTTCTGCTTATGACATTTATTCCCCTGTGAATCAGCAGGAGTGGGCAGCAGTCAGGAAGGTTAATGAAGCTGGAAAGGTTTTTCATCAAAGCCAGGATACAGCACACTGGAAGGCAGCAACACCCTCTCTGATTGCTCAGGTCCCCTCTGTGCCTGTCCATGGGGTGTTACCAGTCAGGACTCAGCTCTTGTAGGGACAGTCATAGGTCTTCCTCCAGTTGTTGGAGATGGTTCACAGTGACTGGTTCTTCTCCAGAAGGCTTTGACTTGCTTCTCTGTGGAGTGAATCTCAAATTCACTGTGTGCTTCCAAAGGGAAGTCTTTTTCCTTTGGGTCCCATTTCTCCTTGCCTTCTCCTCACTTTAAGGTCTTTGATGACCCACTGGTACTTTAGAATATCATTTCTCATCCACAATGTCCAGATTTAATTTACCCTTGAATAAAACTATCCTGCAATGAGCTGTATAATTGAGGAATTGTTTCCCTTCCTTTCCCTCTATGTTACACCTCATTACTCATCATCCTCTGGTTCAGATGCCAATTCCTTCCTGCAACTCAGAATCTCGAGCTAATTGGTTTCTTTTTATATTAATTCTGCCAGTCAACGGAACAGTTCTTTATTTATGGCAGTACAGATTCATGAAGACAAATATTTCCATAGACTCCTCCCCTTTTCCTGTCTTGGTCAGCCTGTATCTTGGACCTATACTTAGGCAGGAAGAACACATTCCTTATACTATTCCCTAGGTTTGGGTGGGTTGGAAACTCTTAAACTGGGACTCTCATTCCTTGTGGTTCTTCTTACCTTTAGAGGGCAAAAATCCTGCTGGCTACTGAGCTTCAGTCTCCCTAGCTCTGAGAATAGACATTTAAGCCCACTTGCCCTGTTAAAACATCTCAATAAAGACTCATACTTCTTAGCAATTTAGGACCAATCTCTCAGGCCTCCAATAAAAATAGCTAGCAATAACTCTTGAATTGAAAGCCAACCAAGTCAGCATTAAAAAAAAAAAAAAAAAAAAAAAAAAAGGCTTACTTCGTTTTCCAACTTCTGCTTCAAACATGTCTTCCTCGTTTGCCGTGGGCTCTGGGTTTAGAGTCCAAATTGACTTTAATTTAATATATTATTGATGTTATTTCTTTCTTTCTAATACAAGTATTTCATTTTTCTTTACCTTCAGCCCCTAAGTTAAAGGAGTAACTTAAAATGTACTAAATAATAATTATAATAATGATTAGATATATGATTTATAGAACATCTCGCCAAAAAGCTTATCTAGCATGGAGAAGTCCTACAAATTCATTTAAGTTCCAGCTATTTCCATTACGCTAATGAAAGCTATACTATCTACATCTACATACTAATGAGAACTAAAACCAACATAGTCTTCTGACCCTGTGTTAAACAAAGCTGGGAGCAGACATACACCCCGATTATTGTGTTAACAAGGCTGACACAAGTCACAGGGTTTGGATGTTTGTCCCCTCCAAATATCATGCTGAAATGTGATCTACAGTGTTAGAGGTAGGGCCTAGCAGGAGGTATTGGATCATGGGCATGAATCCCTCATGAATGGTTTAACGCCATCTCCTTGGTAATGAGTTTTTGATCAATTAGTTCAAATGAAGTATGGTTGTTTCAAAGAGTGTGACACCTCCCCACCCTCTCTCTCTTGCTCTCGCTCTTGCCATGTGATGCACCTGTTCCCCCTTTGCCTCCCACCATGATTAGCAGGTGATTTCTGAGGATTCCATGATTCCTGAGGCCCTCAACAGGAGCAGATGCTAGCAATGTTCTTCCTGTACAACCTGTAGAACTATGAGCCAATTAAACCTCTTTTCTTTATAAGTTACTCAGCCTATTATTACAAAGTCAAAAAAAAGGCTTTTTTTTGTCTCCATAGGTGGTGAAGCTGTGGAGAAAAGGGAATGATTATACACTTTTGGTGTAAATGTAAATTAGTCCAGCTACTATGAAAGCAGTCTAGAGTTCTCTCAAAGAATTCAGAGCTACCATTCAATCCATCAATCCCATTACTGAGTATATACCCAAAAGAAAATAAATCATTTTACTGAAAAGACACATGCACTCATATCTTTACTGCTGTACTATTAACAACAGCAAAGACATGGAATTTACCTAGGTGCCCATCACTGGTAGACTGGTTAAAGAAAATGTGATATATATATATATACACACACACACACACACACACACACACACATACACACACACACACACACACACACACAACCATGGAATACTATGTGGCCATGAGAAAGAATGAAATCATTTCATTTGCAGCACCATGGATGGTGCTGGAGGCCATAATCTTAAGCAAATTAACAAAGGAACAGAAAACCAAATACTAGATATTCTTACTTATAAGTGGAAGTGACGCATTGAGCACATATACACATAATTAAGGGAACAATAGATATTGTAGACTACTAGAGGTTGGAGGAAGAGGGAGGTTAAAAAAAACCACCTATTGGCTTACTATCAGGGTGACAGGATTTGTACTCCAAACCTCAGCATCACACAATATTCCCACGTAACAAATTTACACATATATCCCTGAATCTAAAATAAAAGTTAAAATTAACAAAAATTAAATTAAATTAAAAGTACCCAGCCTCGGGTATTACTTTTTAAAAGATACAAAAAAACAGACTAACAACAAGCAAAATCCAATCTGCTGATTACTCCAGGAAATCCCTGCCTCTGGAAGATAGGCTGTAAACTCCCTAAAACAGAGTCAATACTAACAGTTTACTCTTTAAAACTCATTACGACCTTCTTTCATTATCTTTACCAATTTAAATCTATTATGTCTTAAACTGTGAAATCCTAGCTAGTTGCCTAACTTGTCAGATCTATCTGTATACTCTCTAACCCAGGCCCTGAAACTCTAAAAAGTATCCTCCCCTGACCTTCCCCTTCCTGAGACACTAGTAAGACTATCAAGGTGGTATTCTCCCTAACTGCAACAGTTCTCATAAACTTAGCTTTGCTTCAGCAATAGGTTTTTCTGGTGGTTTTTTGCACAGTCAACAGTCAACACTGACCTCTTCTCGCCTATGCTTTTCTTCCTTGGGGATGTTATCTGCTGGTGCTATGTCCCCAACGATGCATTCTGCCACATCGTGAACGAGGGCTAGGCGTACACATCTGACCAGGCAAGAAATGTTGAATAATTAAACAGAATTATATTCACTACAAGTTTGTTCTCTATATTCTTTCAAAGTTACATTTTATATATATTCCTTCCCCCCTCATAGAGTATTTTAATGTAGTATTTTCTAAATTCTGCCAGCCTACAACAGTTCTGATAAAAACTGTTAGTTCATATTCAATAACATACATGTGAGTGTAGGGGAAACTGTTAGCATGAATTTCTTAAATGGTTGGTTTCTCAAATCTTACTTTAAAAGGCTTATAACTAGGCGGGGTGCAGTGGCGCACGCCTGTAATACCTGCACTTTGGGAGACCAGGTTGGGCGGATCACCTGAAGTCAGGAGTTTGAGACCAGCCTGGCTAATGTGGCGAAACCCCACCTCTACTAAAAATATAAAAGTTAGCCAGGTGTGGTGGCACACACCTGTAATCCCAGCTACTCAGGAGGCTGAAGCAGGAAAATCACTTGAACCTGGGAGGTGGAGGTAGCAGTGGGCCAACATGACACCACTGTACTCCAGCCTGAGCAACAGAGCGAGACTGTCCCAAAAAAAAAAAATTATATTTGACAGCTTTCATGTTCCTGACACATGTGAATCATTCGGTAAGTGGTTATGATTATTAGTGATTAATCAATACTGGTTGTGATAGTCATTATCTAAACAGGAAGTTAAGTAATGAGAGAAATGCCCCATATGGGCAGTCTCCTTTAGGCTCCCACATTACCAAGGCAGTACAAGGCCCAACAGTGTCCCCTGAGATTTTCCTGCCTCTAGTCTCTTTCTGGTCCAGTTCAAATCACAGACTACTCCAAACCGCACTTCTATTGGACTTCACTTTCATCTTGTACTATTTGCCAAAAACCTCCTCAGTTCTACACATGCCGAGTAACAGGACTCCTCAGTTTTCCCCAGCGAACCATTTGCTGTAGTCAAGTTGATTTATCTCTCATTTGCAAAATACTCCTTTACTTTCCTATACTCAGGGCTTTGCTTTATCTGCCTTTCTCTCTGCTTGCAGTGCCTTCTACCTCTCTGCCTACATTAACTCTTTAGAGCTCAACTCAGATTGCACGTCTTCCATTAAGATCAACCAAGAACAGGTGATCTCCCCTACTCTTACAGTACTTACTGTTTCCACTATACCTTATGTTTCACTTCATATAGAAGGTATTTTGGGCCTGTGTAATTCACCTTACTCTCTAATATGCTAGTAAACTTTTGTGCTCTAAAAGCATTTTAACACTTGCTGATTGGAATGAAGGGGGAGAGGATACTTCTTTCTCAGCTACATCTTGCACATACAACTCTAGAAAGAAATCTCACAAATGGATTCTACTGTCCATAAAAGGCACTAGAAAAGAGCACATAGTGTACTAATACAATGCAAGAATTTTAGACATAACACACTCACCTTCAAGGCCCCAATATCACTCTCAAGTTTCCTCTGATACCCAAAGCAGGCTCTATCACTTGCCAACAGAAAACCCAGATTGCAGTTTACAACTGAGGCAATCAACAATGAGCTCCTCTTCCCACATCCTAAATTTGTATGGTTTGCTTCAAATTCATTTTTCTTGACCTATAAACTAACCTACAAGGATTTAACACGGGCCTCAGTGGTAAAAACGAGTGTACACCCATAGACCAGAATCCCTCATGAGCAACAAAATCCAGCTCAGCTTACCGGTCTTTGTTAAGACGGTCATCTTTGATCACCATAGCCATAACTGCCATCCGGTACATGTGATCTGACACGCTCTCTGGCCTCTGGACATTTCTGTATACCCAGCCAGTCCGTGGGACTCTCTGAGAAATATGCAAAAGAAAAAGAAGGTTTAAGAAACCAATAACTATTGGTTATGCTCTTCAAGAGATGTCCAGGGTATAACACACAGAAGCCGGGTCATTGCTTCAGAACCTATTACAAAATGTTTTACTAAACTAAAATGATAGACATCTGGAATCAAACTAGAGAACTCAGAATAAAAAAAGCAGAAGACAGAGAGAGGTAAGTCATAAAGTCCATTCATCAAATTACTGTTACTAGTGCATAATTATGGAACATATGCAAGTCCTTTAAATAAAAACAAAACTGCATTTTTCCTAACTACAAGAGTTGCAGCTTTTTGCCTTCAAACAATCCTATACAAACAGAAAACACTGTGTTAAAGGCTCAAACTTGAACAAGTGATAGACTTCCAAATTCTGATGCACAAAGGATAAAGGCACTTCTCATTGCGTGTTGTCATGACTCTCTCTCATTGCTTGACGCTACCAATTGCCATGACTCTTCCTTTCATTCACATAATAACTTGATCTTGTGAAACTGCATTTCTTCCTCAGAATTCTACATCTCTAAAGAATGTTATAAACAGTAGAGTGGCATGAAACAGATAATTTGCTTTGAATTTGGGAGAGAGACGTGGAAGACACACATGATGAAACTCCAGTGTGTGTTACATTAAATCCTGTTTGGGGGGTTGGGGGCAGAAAAATCTTGTTTTGGGATGTAACTGTGAAACAGAGCCTATCAACACACACACACACACACAACTTTGGGATGTAACTGTGAAACAGAGCCTATCAACACACACACACACA